GCGAATGCTGAGCAGTACACACGTCCCTTGGTTGACAACCGGATGTCACGCCTACGCCAGAGATGGTGTAAGTCAGCGAAAGCAGCTCGAGCTTTTCGGATCCGTGCTGAGATTTCATCGCAATCAGTCCGTTGGTGCTAATACAACTTCCCAAATAGGTGAAGTGGTCAACATGTTCTATCACTTCACTCCTTATCACCTAATTCACAGTCATTACAGAGTATTTTTTATAAATTATATTATTTTGTTAAATTGGGTCAACCAACAGGGTCGTTTAGCCTACACAGCGTGTCTTGTCTGAGTGTGTTTGTAGATTTGAATGCCATTGTAATTCCTGCTTTATTGAGAAAACTACTTAGGGAGGGTCTCAGATGTCCCTTCCTTATTTGGTAAAGCTACTGTAGAGATGCCTTATATATTCTTTCTTATTTATGTTATCATTATTAGTTTCGCAGTTATTTTTATTTTGCTTAAGACCTTTCCTAATCTTACCAATGAATTTTATAGTATAGTTATTTAACACCAAAGCCTCTTCTATCTGTTTTATTTCATCATTTAAGTCTTTTCTTGTGCTACTTAGTGCTACTGCTCGGTTTGTTAAACACTTAACTGAACCTGCCTTAACAGTTAACGGATGAGATGAATTTAAGTCAAAGTATCTATTAGAATGAGTTGGTTTTTTATATACACCATCAGTGTGCAGTTTATCTTCTTCTATTGGTTTAATTTTACAATCTAACATCGCTAGCTCATTCTCCTTGCTCATTTCCCTAATCAAATGTGAATTGTACTTCCTTAACTAGTGAGTTTATATGTGTCAAGAAGCTGGAGAGAGATAAGTTCTGCTTTTTACACTGTAAGTGAAAGTGTCATCTACATATCTCCACCATATTTTTAGAGTAAGATTAAATGTATTGAGAGCACTATTTTCCCAGCTGTCCATAAATATGTCTGCTACGATAGGGGATATTGGTGATCCGTGTCATTGCTACACCTTCTGTTTGTCTATATATTTTACCCTGGAATTTAAAGATAGTAGATGTGAGGCAGCATAACTGAATTCCTAAAATAATTTCTTCAGTGAGCAGCTTTGTTCTATGATTCAGTTCAGGATCCGCAGTTAGTTCTTTTTTAATTGCTTATAAGGCCATAATGACTGGTATATTAGTGTAAAGACTAGTTATATGTAAAATAACCATTTTTCGTCATTTAGTTTACTTTTCATCTTAAATGAATTAGTTAGTCTAGAGTTTGAACGATTTCTAATGGGTCATTAGAATTAGAGCTAAGTATTTTGATAATTCATACGTGGGGGTATTTCTAAAATCTACTATTGGTCTTATGGGGTAACCTGGCTTATGTATTTTTATAGTACCATATATTCTACTAGCATTATTAGTTTTAGGCATTAAATTAAACCATTTAGACTCACCCAGTGACGGCTTCATTCTGCGTATTAGTTCCGCTGTAGATTTCTTAACCTTATTCATTATTGTATCTACAGGCTTCTTAATTTGAATATGCTCAATAAGTTTTTTGATATAGTCAGATTTATTCAGAACTACTGTCAACTTTCCTTCATGCACTTTTGCAATGACAATATTTTCATCATTTTTAATGTTAAATAGAGCTAATCTTTCCGAATTTTTAAAAGCCCTACCGTGGCTTCTTTTACTTCTTTAGAGTTAATGCCTAATGTATTCGAATCTCTTCTCCTGTCGTCTTATCTACTGAACTTAATGCTATTCCTATGTAAAGGATAATTAGATATATATTCAAAGTTGTAGAAAGCCAATAACAATACCAGACTTTAAGAATCGTTTCTCACTCCAGACATTTGAATACTTTTACTATATCGAGACAAATGGTTATGGTAATATATGCTGGAAATGATATTTTACGTGAGTCAGTGACACGGTGGTAGAATCTTTGCCAATCACGCAGGTGGTCGACCATTGGCCGATGCACCTCATTAAGCCAGTAGTAAGATTGGTAAAGTGGGAATGTTAGGCATGACGCTAGGAAAGACAGAGATTGACTGATTTTACTGAGTCCTCTTTCATCGAGTTCATTGATATGATTATGAGGTGTTTAAAAGGGAGGCAATTTGTAAAACCTTTGAATTCAGTTTATTTTCAAATTAGCCAGGAATTACTGCTTTGATTAATGTGTGACTGAGCATTATTGTAACAACAGAAGACAAGGGCCAGGCAACAGATCGTTTTATTATGAAAATCAACACGTATTTATATATATTTCACATACATTATTACAGCTTATGCAAGTAGACAAGCGCAGTCATCTGACTGGTTGTTCATCAGAAGTTAGGCAGACAAACGCAGGCTTCGGATTGGTTGTTTAGGGATTCCTCGACAAATAGAGTTCTCTATCTGCGAATCATATTTTGCCACGTTAACTTTGCTGTGATTGGTTGTTAAATCAGCCTTGTACATATTTTCTCACGGCCTGCTCTCACCACACTATCAGTTTTTTATATGACTTGAAATTACGTAGATTATCTATAAAATTGAAGTATTTTCAATGGATAAACCGATTAAAAATGCTCATTAAAATTTTCCTGAAAAATCATTACTGAACGAAGAATATTCTTTTCGATAACCTGCTCTCTATCGTCAGTTTCTAAAGTTATGGATACACTATAATGAATGAATGAATGAATTAGTGTTATTAACGACATCAATGTTGTTTAAATAACATCGAATCAATAATAATATTGATATCAATGGATTACATTTTGAAAGCATCAACCAAACAATACACACTGAACATCAGACAGACAAATTAGGAAAGATAATGATAATAGAGAATACGTGAATTTTTAGTCTCTAATGAAGGTCAGGGCAGTAGTAGTGGCTGGACGTGCTTCTTCCAGTATGGCTAAGTATATGTATAGTAAAAATTATCAACAGTTTGATATCAGACCACCTGATGCAAAAGCGATCGTCAACCAAGTCAGCAAGCATTAAAAAATCCTTCTCTATCCATCTACTGGGTACTAAATAAATTGCCAAATCATTCAGGTACAATATATTTTAGAGAGCAGAGGCTATCGCCATTCACCTTAAACAACCGGTTCTCTGTGTGCAGTAGACGCAAGTCCGGGTAGCTACTACTACTACTGCCTTGGCCAGCCTTCAGTCGAGACTATAAATTCATGAATTCTATATTATCATAATTTTTCCTAATTTTTCTGATATTCAGTGTGTATTGTTATGTTGATGTTATCAAAATGTAATCCATTAATATTATTGTTATATACATATATATGTATATAACTGTAGAACCTGATGATGAACATCAGGTTATCGAAAAGAATATTCTTTGTTCAGTAAATATTCTTTTGAAAAATGGACAAATTATTTGGTAAATCCATCCTCTCAGGTATTGGTTTTTGTAGGGATTTTGTTTGATTGCATGGAGAATTTCATCAACGAGCTGATATCAGTTAGAGAACCACTGGAAAATCAGCTTGGAGTACTGTACAGCTGTTTCGTCCTAGTTTGGGACTCTTCAGCGGTACTCGCCCACCGCCACCGTTCGAATCCAGGACTTTCTGATTACAAGGCGAGCTCGTAGACTATTGAATCACTGGGACCTAATCCAATGGTCTTTGAATTCTAACTTCTGTCAATGCACGACATAGTGTGACCATTTCGCAATGTCTTCTTCGATGAGTAACTGCCTCATCTTCAACATGATGTACCCTACTGGTCACGGCTTCCCACTAGAACTGATGTCAGCTGATGATGAAATCCTTCATGCAATCAAACAAAATCTTTATAAAAATCAGTGCCTGAAAATTTATCTGATGCCCACTAGTGACTAACCCTACTCAGGCAGGTAGTTACCCGGGGTTCTAGTGGGAAGCCGTGACCAGTAGGGTACAGCAGGTTGAAGAAGAGGCAGTAGCTCATCGAAGGAGACATTGCGAAGTTATGTCGCGTTATGTCGTGAGTTGGCAGAAAATAGAATTCAAATCCATCCTCGACGATCTGTTTAAAAGATTTATACTCACTTAGATGTTTCAAGTAAAATTTCAATTGTTATACGTTTCTCCCCCACCAAGACTGTGTATCAATAATTAGACCTATTTATATCACATTGATTTTTTTGTTATTATTATTTGCCTTAGTCCTTGTCTGATTTTTAATTGTAATACTTCTCTTTCTAGTTGTGTGTACATTGATAGTGTGTTGCTTTAAGCGATATGAGTTTGTTCGAGTCAGGAATGAAGGCGATTCTGGTTCGCGACTAACTATCTGTAGGAAGGGAAGCCTTGGTGTGTTCGTGTGTGTGTGATTGCTGTGGACAGAGCTTTTGACTGATCCCACCTCCTTCGTCGGGAATTCTATCCTCCTCCTCGTCGATTCTAAGCTACCTTCTACAGTTGATCTGTTTTTCCTTCACGTTCCCAGTGCAACATAGAGCTTCAAGCTAGTGGCTTGAAGTTTCTGTAGTAGTGATGATTATTTTTCAGGATGGGGTTGGTAGCCTTATGCCTATCTAACCTTTCCTCTTTACCAGCATATATTTATGGCTTAGCGAGGTAAAGGAGTGAGATCAGTGGCCGGGTATCGAACCTCGGACCATATACATGGTCGACGAGCATTCTAACCGTAGTGCCACAGACGCACAACTTTTTTTTGATTACAGCTTGATTCCACACTGTATTTTTGGTACAAGTATGGAATTTTCAGCATATGATATCGGTAGCCCAAATTTTGCAGGCCAACCATAGATATCAGGTGTGCGTCGGCAGGGGATTGAACCTCGGACCATGTGCGCATGGTCGGCGACAGTCCTAACCACTGTGCCACCGACGCACGTTTAGCCCAGATGTGTTAGCAAAGGGAGCTGCTACAAGTGAAACATGCATTGAAACGTATTCGCACACACCTTTTTTTATTTACTTCATTTAATCAATATCTATTGCTATTGCTATTATCTTTCCTATTCTCTGTTCTATGGTCATGTTTTAGGTGGCGTCAAGAGATAAACATTTCTTCTCAAGACAATCAAGTAACACGAGTAAATCATCCTTTATTTCGGGTGTGTCTGTATCCTCAATGAATTCCGCGAATTCTACCCGAAAACTAACAACGGCTACAATCAATTTTCCAATACCAATGTTACGTGTATTAGAAAGTAGTAATCAAGACATTCATACAGATGTTGTTGAAGAGAACCCCTCAGCAGCTGTTGAATACTACAATAGTCCTACAAAAACATCCGAACAGACTTCACAACAACAGCAACCGAATAAACAGCATAGTCTTTTAGTTCCACTACTTGATATCCGTGAGAAAAATTATCCCTTCACGCCATCGAATCCATCAGAAATGATAATGCGAAAGAATGAGGCATTATTCTGTGCAAATGATGACAGGAAGTACTTGTTAAACGAGCGTAGAAAGAGTACTTCAGTCATTCAACCGGCAATATCTTACACAGAGTTATATGATAATCCTTGTGAAAAATCAATATCGCCTAAATCACCGGCAGCAGCGATGGCAGAGTCGGCAGGAGAGACAACGGCATCATCAGAATATCGATACAGTGAATCCAGTATAAAGTTGTCCACTTTATACGCTCTACAAAAACGTCGTAAAAGTACAAATGATTTATTTAGCTCCCTGTTTCAATCCTCACGTGGACAAGATCAAAATACCCGTACAGGTGGAGAGGAACCTATCCTTCTGCAAATGTTAAGACGACAGCATAGAAGAACACTACGTATATTAATTATTCTACTGTTGGTATTTGTTCTGTGTCGTGCACCAAGATCTATTGTATTGATGATTGAATGGTTAAGGCATACATGTTTGGCAAATAGTGGAACACATTTAAGCATATGGTTACAATACACAAGTATATTCGCTTATTCCAGTGCTATATTGGATACAATTGTCTATGGATTTTGGGGGAATCGTGCCTACAGAATACGCATGAAGAATTTATATGCTCGTCGTGCCTTTTGCAGTTGCGTTGGCTGTGAATAGCACATTACATATATACATATACATATATATATTTCATGGCATCTAATAATGACTTAATTTTAATGTATTAACGAAATTTTATTCTCGTTTGAAATACCAATCAGCACAAACTACCCCCTCGATGTCTTATTTCTTGATTGAGGGGGTAAACTCAACATTTATCTATCATATATTTCCTGAAAATGGATATGATCGGTGAATATATATGGAGTATGTAAGGCAACAAAAATATCCATTGAGATCTTAAAGACATGACTTATACTCGAGACTGTCAATATCTAATCATGAATGCTTCCCGTTGTTTTTCAAGGAATCTTTAGTACTCATTAAATAATAACAATGTATTTTTGACTGATATTTTTGGTCATTCATTTCTAATTCATCATTGTATCACACTTATCACCGGTACTGTCTTGGTTAAAAGTATCTTGTGTATGTTTGATTTGAAAAAGTTGTGCATTTCTTTGAATTTGTACACCTACTTACCTAACTACATAACTTATCTACCTACCTATCTATCTACCTATCTGCCTACCTTACAATAATGCGCAAGTTCATCTTTATTTTTCTGTGACACCACGTTTATGATATATATTTCTTTCAATAAAGACAAAGACACGTGAATGATGCAATAGTAATAGTGTTTTCTGGAAATAATTAACTTAATTCTTCCGCATAATTTTTCAGTTTTCTGTTGTCCTTTTTTCTTTGTTTGTTTGTTTGTCTGTTCTCTCCCGCTGGCCATCGGTCATAGTGACCGAGGAACATCGTGTGTTTTATTTTGCTTGATGTATCTCATCTTTTTACAAATTACTACTTCTATTATTATTATTATTATCGTTGTTATAAAGAAAAAACATTATGGAACGAAATAGAAAAGAATTCATATTATTATTATTATAATTATTATTAGTATTAATTTTAATGAAATAAATAAATAATTTAAATTCCTTGTTATCCTGTTGTCTTGTGAAACGATCGAGATTGGAAGATAAACAGGTGTATGACATTACATTAATGTATATAGACGAACGATTGCATGTCAGTCACACCCGTACAAATTATATATATCTATATATATTTATATATATATGTATATATAGTTGGAGAGAAATCTGAAGGAATCAACCTCCTTTACCTACCCACCTACCTACCTGGGAAGCATCATTTCAACTACAGATAGATGGAACTGATGAGGAAATCAAAGCAATGAGGATCGGGAATGCAAGGTAAGTTTTCAGTACTTTCACGCCTGTGCGGAGGTCAACAGCTCACTCAGCATGAAAATGAAAATAAGATCCAGATTTTCAACTCGAATGTGAAGTCAGTACTACTTACTATGCGTACAGATCAGAGACTTGACGCTGCATCAGGAAGACAACTTCGAACAAACCACAAACGTTCATCAACAGCTGTCTTCGTTCAATACTTTGCTCAAGATCAGATGGCCGGCCAGGAAAGATCAGCAACAGGGATCTCTTGGAGCGAACTGACCAATCTAGCAGTCCCCTGCAGACGCACACACCTGATATCTATGGTTGGCCTGCGAAATTTGGGCTACCAATATCCATGCTGAAAATTCCATACTTGTACCAAAAATACAGTGTGGAATCAAGCTGTAAATCAAAAAAAAAAAAATAAAAATCCAGCAGGAACTGTCTTTGCTACAAATATGGAGGAAAAAAATGGAGGTGGATTGGAGTTCGTACTCTGAGAAAACCAACAATTGACATCACACTCGAGTGACACCTGAATGGGAAGCGACGAGTAAGTTAGTCGTCAGTGCGAGGGTCACATGGTGTAGGAGGTCATCTGAAGGGAGATGAAAGCATATGGGCAGACCTGGAGCCAGGTGTAAACGTTGGCAGAGAACCGAACGCAGTGAAGACATGCAGATGAAGCCCTATGTTCCTCTAGGAACTAAAAGAAACAACAATAATAGTAATGATGTATTGGATGTCAGTGGCACAGTGGTAGAATGCTTGCCAACCACGCCAAATGTGGTTCGGGGTTCGATCCCCATCGACGCACTCCTGAACCTGGATAAGCAAGTAATAAGATTTTTAAGGAGGGAAGGTTTGGCGTGAGGCTAGTAACCCTATCCTGTAACAATAAAATCACCACTGCTGCCAAAGCTTGAAGTACTATGTTTCGCTCGGAACGTTGGGGAACAAATATATATATATATATATATAATTTGCCTGCTCACTTGCTCTCACTTCCTTATCACACTTGGACATAAGGCCACCTGTGGCATGTACTACTGACAAGAATTGTCAGCAGTATATTTAGACACACATGGATAGGAAGTAGCCTAAAATGAAAACAGTATTTTAAGTCAGTGACTACAGAAAAAGAAGGAATCGTGTACTTCTCAAATCTGGATTTAGCTTACGTTGTGGTCAGGAAATAATTTCAAGGTTTAACTTGCAGAAAGTCAACAACCAATCAGAGCAGTCTATTATCCTCTGACCTAGCCGACCATAAATGTGGCTAAAAAACACATAAATAAAGTGTGATTTTCCTCAATAAAAAAAAGGATCCGTCACCAAATCTCTTGTCTTCTCCAATTACACGACTGCCTTTTAATGAATACTTCTTTTATTTTATGACAGGAGAGAATGGCGTACTTTAGATTCAGAGTTTCATGGGTAACACACCACCATTATACCATCCCTAGGTGAAGCAGGTACACCCAACTGAACAGTCCTTTTCTAGGATTCTACTACTACTCACCATCGGACAAAGACTAATAATAACAATAATAGTATCGTGTTACACCTTAGACATCGTCGAAGCTTTTAGATTCAACAGGGAAATGCCAGTTATTAAAAAGAAGTTATGTAATAATATGAATAGTTTGATGATTGAGTCTCACTCAGGATAAACATAGGAACAAAGTAGAGAATACAAAATTGCGTAACAGTTCTAAATGAGTATAAGAATTATAGGCAATTAAAGAACAGGCAAACAAACAAAATTAAGTCATCACAAATCAACAAAGTTGTTACCATGACAGTAGAAGTGGTTGAGTAATTCTCTACTTTTTGTACGCACAGCTCCGGTTTTTTTATGTGAATGGCAAGAGCTTCAGCGATACAAAGAAGATGAAACCGCATTTATTGCCTTTGGTAGGTTATTCTTGACTCTGTAGATAACTTTGAAGGAGGAGGAGTTTGTTTAAATGGAATGATAAGTGTTTTAACCAAGTGTTCAGTTATCACACTCCTTATTGCACCACTGTTGCCTTTTCGCGACCATGCTGGCTGGATAGTGTTCTTGAGTCCTCTTGGGCAGGATACGCATCGAATGACCAGTTAACCTGGCTCCACAGCAGCAGATGAACTGATATATGCTCATGGAAGTGGTCAGCTGCGGGATCTTGTCCTTGAGGCTTCTGCAGATCAGTGGGCGACAGGAGAACACTATTCTTTGCGTTCCTGGAAAGAATATTCTTCTCAGATACGATGTGATCTTATTCTTGAGAATATCGGTTGCTAAATCTTCACGGAGAGTTTATTTTTCGGCACAAGTGAAGTTCCATTAATTCGCATTCTTAGTTTGATATTTTTGTCAATGAATCTTATTGGGTATCCATTTTGGATGAAGATTTCTCTCAGAATATCTAATTCTGTTTCTAGAACGTCGGAACTACAGATGCGTCGGACGAGGATGGCAAGTGATTTAATTAAATTCCGCTTTTGTTGAATGGGTACCCAAGCTATAGAAGCTTGTTAGTTGACCATTCTAAGTAGCTTTTCTATGGATCGATCTTCTTAGGCTCCCATCAGTTCTTTTTGTTATTTCCAAATCATGAAAAGGAATTTTTGACTCGTTTTCCATTTCAAGAGTGAATTCTATTGCTGGATGGCAATAGTTAAATGTCTTCAGCAGTAGATTGGGGTCATTGTTGTTGTCACAAATAATGAATGTGTCATCTAGGTATCTCTTATACTGTCGTAAATTGTCAATGCTCGGCTTTAGTGGACCTTTCTCGAGGCTTGCCACGAAGCAATCTGATAGTAGTGGATCCAGTGGAGATCCCATTGCAATGCCATCTTTTTGTCTGTAGATGGTGTCGTTGAAAGTGAACTGGACGTTCCGAGTGCATCTCAGTAGTAATTCCTTGAAATATGTTGTTGGTACTCCAATATTGAGATGGTTCTCATCTATATATCTGCATATAAAGCAGACCGCTTCCGTGTCTTGTATGCAGTCGATGAACTGGAAGGTGTCACGGAGTGAGTGCGTACACAATTGTATTCTTACAGGTTCCAGGATATCTATCAGCCATTTTGCAAAAGAGTGAGTGGTAACGGGAACCTGACATATCCAGAATTGGACGAAGTGGAAGACCAACCTTGTGTGTACCTTTGGTAGACCATAAAGTCTTGGTATTATTGATCCTGTTGGCCGGATCTGATCACAGATATTGCAGTATATTGTTCATTTTTGATCCACAAGCACTACACCGGAGTCCTTATCGGTTTGTCAATAAAAAAGATACATATATCTCTCGGTGTTTCTTCGTAAGTAGATTGTTTGTTTTTCTGAAAATTGTAGCAGGAATCGATTAGAGTACTTTTGAATCTTCCTTCTAGCTCACACCTGAACGAAGGAATTAGGTCGTTTTTCTGGGCAAATATATTTTCAAATTGAACATCAGTCTCGAAACTTGATTAACTTGATTACGTCTGTCAAAGAATTTTTAAAATCGAGGTGTTCAATTATCGCACTCCTTATTGCAGTTCCTAGAGGAACATAGGAATTCATCTGCACGTCTCCATTGCGTCCGGTTCTCTCTGCTGGAGTTTTCACTTCACTACAGGTCTGTCCACATTCTTTCATCTCCTCTTCACACAACCTCCTCCAAGTTACTCTCGGGCGACCAACTGGCCGCTTCCCTTTCAGGTTCCACTCGAGCAATGGCTTCTCTAGTGATGTCACTGATGTTTTGTTTTCTCAGAGTATGGCCAGTCCATCTCCATTTTTTCCTGCCTATTGGTTGCACAATCGGTTTCTGCTGAGTTGGTTCGCTCCCAGAGATCCTTGTTGCTGATCAACTCTGGCCATCTGATCTTGAGTATTCAGCGAAGACAGCTGTTGATGAAGGGCTGTAGTTTGTTTGAGGTGGTCTTTATGACCTGGTGCCAAGTCTCTGATACGTATATTAAGTAGCACTGACTTCACAGTTGACTTGAAAATCCGGATCTTATTTCCATTTTCATGATGAGTGTGCTGTTGACCTCCACACAGACTTGAGAGAAATGAAAGCTTGCCTTGCTTTCTCGATCCTCGCTGCTTTGATGATATCCTCACCAGTTCCGTCCGCCTGTAGTTGAAAAGATGCTTCCCAGGTAGGTAAAAGAGGGTTCCTTCTTTCAGATTCCTCTCATTTATGCCGGCTGATTGTTGTCTGTTGTTGTTGCTATTGGTGTTGGCCAGGAATTTTCATCACCTACCTCTGTTTTCTCTATGTTCACCTGAAGTCTCTTCTATCTTTGATGCTTCTTCTGTCGCCAACTTGTTGCTTTCTATCACTTACATATCTTCCAGTGTGTGAGAAATCAGACATATATGTCATCATCGGCGAAGTCCAGATCCTTCAAGTTTTTTTGTATGAGAGTCCATTTTATGCCTGTTTCCTCACTACCCTGCCCTCTGTCTGTCGCATTATCTAATCTACCACCGGCAATCAGGAAAATCATTGTAGATAGGTAGGTACGCAGCCAGCCAGACTTGTCTTACTTCCGTCTTTACCTTGAAGAATTACTTTACTTTGAAGGACAGATTACCTAAAATGTACAAATTCTAATAACTTTGAAAAGAAAAAAAGAAAGTAAGGAAGGAAGGAAGGAAGAAAGAAAGAGGAAAAGTAATTCAGACAAATTTAAGTGATTTATGCCTTCAGAATGATTCATTTTCTCACATAAAGTAAACACATAATGAAG